CTCCCTGTACAATGGCAGAGCCCGAACCAATATCCAATTAAATATCTGCCCAGATGAGCTGATGAGGGGTGCGCACAGGAGATGCCTTTGTAATCTGACAGATTTGAAGCACCTTTGCAACTCAAGTTGTGCCAAATATATTGCCAATTATTGTCAAGTCATGATGTGCCCTACTTTCAGACTCCTACCCAAAAAGAACCCATCCATACAAGCAGTTATTAGCGTGTTGTACATAAATTTGTTGCAGACAGTTGTTCATAAGTGGCGATTCTAGGCTCCAGTTGCCTAGGTAACCTTCTAATGTATTTTTCCAGTCTGTCAAATGTTAATCGACAGTATCCTTTGCTCTCATTGATAGCTGCTTCAGTCAGTCACCTTGACTGAGAAGCTGAGAAAAGTTCAACTCGGGACTCACATGCTCTCACTAGACGTCACTTAATCTCATTGACTTCAGTTGATATCTGGTCAGCACCTTACTGCAAATTGCTTCCTTTGTAGATTAATTTAAATGTGTATATATATATATATATATATATATATATATATATATATATATATACATACATATGAAAAGAGGTTATTATTAGAAAATATTATTATTTCCCCACTATATGATTTCAGTTTGTTTTACAATTGGATCGAATGCCAAGGTTTTGCACCACAAAAACCTGGCATGTAAACATCGACTTTTGGAATCCACTGTATTATTTCACAGTAAAAATAGGTAAAGCATACGCACATTCAATTTTTATTCATGCATACAGTAGTGCTCTCCAACAACCAATCCTTGAATAATAAAATGTCATATAACTACAGCTGTGTCTTACTATACTGCCATTCATTTATTTGTTTATAGACCAAGCCCTACTTCTCAGTGCAGTTTAATAAACACTTAATAATCACTTCATGTTGTACACACGACCTGTGTACAACATGAAGTGCTGTATCACATATGCTGTACACAACATTTGTGGTATAGTGTACCTAACCTCCATCTTGCTATCCACCCACTCACAACAACACACGACCACACACAAATACACACTAACACCTGGCACACCCCCAGGTAGCCTCAGGGCAGTGGTATATTCCAACACCGTTGGCCTTCATGTGTTGTCATAGTAACAACAGTGAGAATTTCTCATTACAGTAGTTTTAGGCAGTCAAAAAACAAACAAACCCCAAAACAAATAACAACAACAAATTGAAATAAATAAATAAAAGTTTTCTGCCTTAACCTGTCAGCCCTGCGCTCCCCTCCAACCCACCAATCCCTGTAATTCCATAACATTGCTACACCTGGTCTCTTTCTCGTATAGTTATGCTTTAACTTTCTCTTTCCACCTGCAGCCTCACTTCATCTCTGATGATCAACAAAAATAAAGCACTTTGACCACTGTGAAGAGTGTGATGAGAGTGTGTTTGTGTGTGACAGGAGAGGAGCGAGTGTGTGGGAGCTGTACTCAGAGTGTATGTCAAGTTCTGTGTCAGTGTTGTGTGGAGGATGTGGAGTCTGTAGCAGTGGGCTTGGGACCATTTGTATGCACCCCATTTTGTGTCTGTTTTTGTGTGCGTGTTACGGTAAAAGTAGTACTCTTTCTCAAACACAGACTAGATGATTCATCCAGAAAATGGGGGTATGTGTGTGTAAGTGTGTTTTTATTCACACATTTAATGGGCGGCAGTGAGCCGGCAGAAACAGAGAGAGTGGACAAAGTGAGGATGAAAGAATACACATGCAGGTTTTGGGCTCTTATGGAGATAAGAAATCCATTTGAATTAACTTTTTCAATCTAACAGATAACTTCAAAGACCAAAGTACATACTACAGAAGATGCAAAAGAAAAGAAAAAATGTAGTTTGGATTGTGAGAGTTATTTTAAGTTGTTCCCTTGATTTTTTTCTTCTTCAAACCAACGTCTAGCAGTCATTAAATTACATCTCAAGGCACTTCTCAACTGCCTTCAATACTGTTATAAATGGCATTGGCAAAAAAAAGGCTGTAGGTGTTCAAAGAAAGTGGAGAGATTTCACATTTCTAATCCTTTTTCCTGGTGGTCTTATGACTACTATAACGAAAAGAAGGCTCTTAAAATATTTCAAACTAAGCATTTGCACACTTTATGCAGCTGTTTTATTTGTGTAACACCTCCAACTGTCTTGGAGGTCCCAGTCTGCTCATGTGGACAACTGCCTGACAGTGGAGACATTGGGATGTGCCTGGTCCTTCAGACTATGGGGGCTGGCTCATGTTTGGGCCCATTTGCCCAGGTTTCTATCTGACATCGACCACTTTTGCACTTGTGTTTTTTGCAAAGATGGTTGATATATATATATTATTACACACTGTATTAATGTATTAATACAGTGTGTTACGTGTCCGTGGACTCCTAGTTGTTTTCAACTAATTTGGGGGCTCGTCTGGGATATCTGAAACTTGTTTGGTTGAAGCTTGTTTAGCTGTGTCATATGGAGTTGCTGACTTAGTTTGTGGTTTCAAATATAACATTCTTCTTAGCACGCTTTTGGAGGCACCTTGACACAAAAATGGCTGCAACGTTTGCATTTTGTGTATATATAAAAGCAAGCAAAAGGTGATGTGATATCACACTACAGTCACCTTTAGCAGTATTAACTTAAAATAATAATTTCCTTTATGACAATTAATCTCTTACATCATTGTGGAGCATTTTTGTCTGCTTTACAACATTGCATTAATTTATAAACAGCAAGCTTAAGGACACTTGGACTTTGACTGGGTAACAGATTGTAACGCCTTGATTCATTTCTTTTTCACTTATTTTGTTGTAGATTTGCTGCTGTATTTGGGGCATTGTTGTTGTTGCATGGACTAAGCTTTAGCTTTCTAGTAATACTTTGGTATACAGAGGAGTTAATGGCCAACAATGGTTCCCCCTTGACCAATGAACCTTCCGATCGTGGGGCAAACGCTCTACCTAATGAGCTATCGCCTCATCTTGTCTGTCCAAATGACATTTTTAGAAGTTTTGTGGTTTATTCAAAAACAACTTGCGACCCTAAGCTGTGTTACCATGTTCTATTTTGAGAGAAGAGGCTTTCTGCAGTAAAGCCTTCCAAACAAGCCATACTTGTTCAGTCTTTTTCCAATTGTACTGTCATGAACTTTAACATTTAACACGTTATCCGAGGTCTGTATAAACTTAGCTGTAGCTCTTGGGCTTTTGCTGTTTCCCTAGAACATTGCATAATCTGACCTTGGAGCGCATTTGCTGGGATGTCCACTCCTGGGAAGATTGTGGCACTGTCTTAACACACAGCTGAATGCTCCAGACCAACAAACTGGAAAAAATATGTGCTTTATAGTGGTGACCGGACGTGCTGATAATCAAGTAATCAGATGCATTTGATTAGCAGCTACCCTCCACCCTATCCTAATTCCCATGGAAACTTTCTTTTTTCACATGACTGTACTCACATGACACCCACTCATGTCAATGTCATATACTGAGGTTATATTTGTGATCATATAATCAAGTTTTACCTTATACCCTGATTCATCTAAGGACTGGTTTTGTTTAAATTGTCTTCTTTCATATGAACACACTGCTTTAATAAGTACAAGGAAAAATCTTATATGTAACGATGTCTTCTATTTTCACGAATGAATGAAGACAAACAGCATATTACATTATTATTTACAGTTCATGGCAACCAACCTTTCCAGTGTCTAATACAATCTTTCTCATGTCCTCTACTTGAGGATTTCTAAGAAACACAGTGATAAATTGGAACTTGGCAATAATAATGGGCAAAAGCCAATTTGGAAAATGAATATCTATTCTGTTAATTACAGTAATTCCCCCAAATAAGCTGAGGGACCACTGAACAGTGAAGTCCAGCTTTTAATCTGAATAAAGTCTCCTATCAGTCATCGTATTCTCCTCTGGCAACAAGTATGAGGACCATTGTGTCCTTTGGGAAATGTATTCCCAGAAAATCATATTATTATTTTTAAACCCTATTTTTCCTTTCCTGACCTTATCTGCACAGGTTAACATACTTATCACATTTAATTTGAGAACATGCAATATTTAGTTATAGAGTTATTTTAAAAAAATCAAATTTTCTTGCATTTCAAAAGACGCAAATTGCCTCGACTCATTCAGAGAAGTGTTAAAATAATAGTGACAAAGATGTGAAAGAAACAGAGTGAAAGAAATGTTCGAAGGAGGAAAGAACACCTGTGAAGTGAAGCAAATAGAGGATCAGTCGGCAGCTTAAACATTGACAGATGGATGGTAGATAGAAATAAATACATGGCCTCAGGGAAGGGGAGATGGACAGTGAGAAAAAAGATAGAAGGAGAAACACAAAAAAGAGAGATAGCACAAGAGAGGAGGAAAGTGGTAAAGAAAAAAAAATGAAAGACCGACAGAGGAAAAAAATGAGAGTGGGAGGACATGGCACACTGAAAGGTAGGACCTTCATTATGCAATGAGGACAGACAAGGGAATAACACGCATAGAAACACACACACACACACACACATAAAAAAACACACACACACAAACCACTAACATGCTCTTGTTTGCACGCCTACACACCCAAAACACACAGAAGCACAGATGCAGGCTAATTCAGAGAGGATTGCCCAAATTACACAAATGGGAGAATTTCTCTTGCAAATGACAGCATGCGCTCTAATCTGCTGACCTTTGAACGAGGGGAGGACAGCACTACTGGGAGAGCAGAGAGAGGGGACGGAGAGGAAATGTACTGACCATGATGCCCGTGAGCAGACAGACTCCTTTGCCACAGTAAGTATGAGGAACCATGTCTCCATAGCCAATAGACAAGAAAGTAATAGAGATAAGCCACATGGCTCCCAGGAAGTTACTGGTCACATCCTGGGCATCATGATACCTAAAAAAAACCAAAACATGTTTATTGTTAGAGGATAAAGTCAGTCAATAGTAAAACATCTAAATAATAATAATGAATAAAAACAAACAAACAATAACTGTCCCACTGGTCCTGTCTGCGAATGTGGGCGTCTAACCGAAAAAAATGTTTCCAGCAATTTTGTCTGACGCATAACACATGACTGCATCTTTTGCCTCCATCGTTCTTGCCCTACGCGCAACACTGTTACCATAGCAACCAAACCTGGTGCAGATCTGAAACAAAGTTTTTCTTTCAATAAACTATTCAGCAGAAATATAATAAGATGTAACCTTGCTTGCTAGCAACAGATATATTTGCTCTGAAGTCTCTCTATTCTCTAAGACTGAAAAGTCACATCCTTGGACGCCGTTCGAAGCCATTTAGTTTTTTTTTCTTTTTTTTCTTCTTCATTAATTTGATTTGGAAAGAAGCAAAATGCCAGTTTCTGCCAGTTGGATACGGACCAACCGAGGACTCCCCAGCAGCCGGGCAGTGATGCATTTAATCAAGCCTATTAACCAGCTGACATTTTCCTACATTTCCTTGATTTATCTCCAAAAACATTTGAATACATCTCCTTTTGCTTTGCACTTGATGGCACATTACAAGCATTAAATAATCTGTAAAATTTTATTATCAATCTCTTAAATGTAACCGAACAACTGGATTTAGGGCTCTTTAATAACAACAGAGAAACAGATATGTTTGTAAGCAGTTTCATTTCTGAGCGTCTGTCTGCTGGATGCAAGAGCGGTCGATAAATCACCAGTCTGTACTGCCATGTGTTTGCTGCTGTATTGAGTATGATATGGATTTCTCTTAATGTTTTTTTCATGTCATATATATATATAATATATATATATATATATATATATATATATATATACGGCATGAAAAACACATTTGGGAGATGTGAAATAGGAAAGAATGAAAATAAAGCTGTAACACATTGTACTGAGCTGCTATAAGCATACTTTTAGGTGTTAATTAATATCTTTGTTAACAACTATACATGTGTAAAACATCTGCAACTGGTGTATTAAATTACAGGAACTGTTTGACTTGCTTATCTAATCATAAAAACCAGTAAAAAACAAAACCCCAGCTCTGTCCACTTTTCAGAGTCATTGCATCTGTAAAACCACAATTTTGTGTACATTTTTACATTAAATCAAAAAAATGCGATATAACATGTCAGTTGGTGATCTACCAGCCGCATCTATGGTTTTAAATCAAAAAGAAAGACTTAAAAGCGACATCAGTCACATCTCTGTTATAATAAAAGTCAGTAAGCTTATTCAACGTGATATTTCCAAGGTCAGGACATTTGAGCTCAGAATGTCTTCGGGAATTTTAATACACATTTTTGATGTGGGTGCTTAAACATACCTGTGGGTTAGTTATTCTCGTGTAAATCTATGAATCTCTATGAGGATTTGGCACCGTGTTTGCTCATGTAATGTTTCATTACACTGTGGTGAGGAGAGCTATATTGTACTGTTATTGCTATCTCTTTTTTACTCTTGACAAATGATCAACTATTAAGTCCTTAATTAGGTCCTTAGTGTCTGACAAACTATGTTCGAGTGTCCCGTAACAATATCAGATTGTTTATTGCTTAGAAATGCCTTATTGGAGGGTCATTAATGTTAATGAATGTTTTCTTCAGACACTATTATATTGATTTTTTATTTTTATTTTTAGTCTGACAAGCAGACAAATGAAGTAACAAATCCATTGCCTGAACAACTGCTGAGAAAGCCTCATAAACTGAAGTCTAAAGAGGGATTATGTTGCACAGACGTCTCAGATTATAGATTCTGCCAGTTGAATTTAATTTCTGAGTTGAATTCCTCATCTGATCACAGTCCAACACTCACACTCATGTACGCTCATGTACACGCAATAAACACCAAATCACAATCGCAAACGGACCAGCTTTAGTGCTAACCTCTCACACACTCGTACGGTCCAGGCAGCAATGATCCACAGAGAGATGCTGAAGACCAGCAGCACCGTCCCAGGGCAGATCGTCATAAGGGTTTTCATTACAAACCGCGTGTTAAAATGGACCTAAAAGACATTTAGAGACACACACATACACACATTGCTTCACTTTTTTTCCCCAGGAGTTAATCTTGTGCTGCTCTGAATCCTTATCCTGCACACTGTTTCCCAAGCGGACTTGATGTTTTACTAATTAGTCCTCTGAGTAGCTTTTGATAGCAGCAGCACTCAGAGAATCTCCACTATAATTGGAGTCGAGATCAGGGCTTGCCCTCTGACTCGGGTCAGGTTATACGGTGTCTTTGAGTAACTGGCCTGTGTCAGTGTACTTTTTTATCTCTGGCTCATTCATCAATAAGAGGCAGACAATCAACTTCTGGCAGATGGATCATTTGATGCTTGAGCCCTGGAAGGCTAAAGCAGCTGATAAATGAGTTGTCATTTACAGCTGCACTTCAGTGGCAGCTTCACCTTCCCTCCACGTCGATGCTGCCTGAGGGTCAGAAGAGAGCCGTCACCGATACACGCACCACCTGCTAAATTACTCGTCTAAAAAAATCTCCTCTATATCTCTCCCGCTGCACTTGCTCTCCTCCACCTAGTTTGCACGTTTGCAACATGCAACATCTCTACTTCCTGATCTTACAGCAATGTTTGTCGTATAAAGTCATTACAAATCTGGCATCAGCCATTTGTTGCACGACTTCAACATATTTCTGCACTCATACTGCAATTTCATTCTAGTTCTTTCTCTTCATGGCCCATTTGAGCTGTATGCAATAACTTGTTTCCATTTCACACTCTCATCTCATATTGTATTATGAAAGATCCACCACAGCTTAGATCTAAGTCTCTAAGCACAGTGACAACAAAAGGACAGGAAGGGGATTTGAAGCGGTAGATGAAAAGAAACAGCTGGACTAGAAGGACAGAAGGGGCAGGAAGAACTTCAGATAGTTAGAGCGAAAGAGGCCAAGGATAAAAGGCACAACATAGACACAGGCTTAATTCAGAGGAGAGAACTCTTGACCTTAATACCTTTACAACTCCATCACCTGTTTCCAGCAAAACCTTTCACATCCACACTTTTAAAGGCATACCGCTCAGAGAAACATCTACAAGATTAAAACTCTCCTGACCTTATTGAGGGCACCTATACTCCTGGAGGAAGCGTCGGTGAACAGTTTGCTGTGCAGAAGCATGACTCTGGCAATGAGGTAGAGGCGCAGGAACATGGGCACGCTCAGCACCATGTCCAGGTCAGCCTCGGCCTGCGAAGGCGCGTACGAGAAGGCCAGCCGTGCTCGCCACTGAAACTTAAAGTCCCCAGGCACCGGATGCACAGCAGAAACAAGCAGCTCCAGAGCGATTAGCAGAACCCTCTCCATCGTCATGGCGATTCGCCAGTCGTCTGCTCCGTTGTCGATGACAAACAGCTGCGGGGACAGGAAGGACATGTGGATAGTCAGTTGGGGAGGGAAAGGAGTTACGCTTCTTTTAATGTGTCGCTGAGAAAACTTTTCATCGTGATGCTCGGTTGGCACGGTCCTTTTCTCATCAGTACAGCTGACTAATCTGATGATTAAAGAACGCACCTGCAATTCAGAATAAATGTGTTCCCTGAGATGGAAAACACCATCCATTTAATCAGTAATCTATTCAGTCCCCACACAGTGCTTTGGCTCATTTTCATATAACCTGAAACTCTTCTCTTGCTAAAATTAAACCAAAGATGCTGATTCATCTGGAGCAGTGGCTCTTAAGCTAAACAGGTTTCTAATGATCAGAGAGACAATATTTAAAAAACAAGGGCAGTATGCTGTGATTTCAGCCGGTCTCATGGGCACATGCCAGCGATGACTCTGAAACCGGTGGGACACTGAGCCACTGCAGATGGGGCTCGGACGACCAGGGGAAAAATATGGAGCGAAGCTAAGTTGAATGAATGTGATTTATTTGTTTATTTTTTGCAGGGAAAATAAATAAACAAGAGTCTGCAGATGGTACGGAGCGGACTTTTTTCATTAAAATTAAACTTGGATCCTTTTTTTTATTGTTAACTATTGGTAAAAAAAAATTAGAAAAATTGTGTTGTAGGGTGTGAACATTTTTCAGCTGTGTAAGTGGGCCAGAAAGTTTAAGTTTAATAAAGAAGGCCACTTTAATTGCGGTTTTCCCTCCTCGTATGTTGACGTTCGGGTTTGTAATTGCTGTGGTTACACTTGATATTGTCACCAAAGCCATCGTTATAAGGAAGTGGTAAGAGCAGGTTTCATTACGGGGGCCGTCCTCCAGACGGTGCTGACAAGAGCTAGGGGTTAGGGAGGAGGAGGAGGTGGGGTTGATGAGAGGAGAAGGCGGAGGAGGAAAGAGATGGATGAAGTGCAGAGGAAATGAAGAGATAAAGATAGGAATGAGGAAATATCAGGTCAGAAAGGGCACTGCAAAAAATCTCTTTGTTCTTTAGACACTTTTGACTTATTTGAGGATTATTTTTGTTAACGCAAAATAATTTTTTTTTTTTAAGAAAGCACCATTTTTGAAGCTCTGCATTTGGGATAAGTTGGAATTTTGCAGTGCACTGGCATACATTTTTCACCTCTCAAAACAAAATGCTAGGACTCAATTGTAAAATTTGTAAAGAGATTACTGCTGGGGGGAGAAAAGGTTAAGGAGCGAGAGAGAACCAGAAAGCAGAGACTAAAGAGAAAGGTCGGGGCATGGGGAGAGAAATGAGGAACTCCCCCGCTGGAAGTCAGCTGAGTTTACCAATTGATGTACTGCCTGGAGAAACAGCCAGTGCTAACAATTGCTCTTTACCACATGATTCATCTCAAGGGCTTTTAGCCCACACCAACATTTATTTAGGAAAACAAAACAAATACAACAAGAGGTCAAATGAAAGAGCAAGCGGCCATGACAGCTGTATGTGTGTCACAGCCACCTGGTCACTGTCGTGATGAAGCCGAACTGAAGCTTTCTCAACCACCTACATGCATGCACCTCCACATTAATCATCACCTTCGTCTAGCGCGGTCGGTTGCATGTTGTTCTACTTCTATTACATGTATGCACACATGCTAACTACATGTGTACAGATACACACATATGTAGCCTGCGCACACACCTGAGCCATTTTTCAAGCTATCATTTGAACCAAGGGTCAAACACTGGCTGTACTCTTTAATGGTCTCACACAGCCTATGTGTGCGTGCGCGTATTTGCATGTGCGTGTGTGTGTGTGTGTGTGTGTGTGCGTGCACTGTACTTGTGTGTATCTGTGTATGCCTGGGCGAGTTGGTGAGAGAGTGTGCAGACCCAGCCTCGTCATGGTGACTGTTGCCAAGGCGACAACATCAAAGAGCAGCCAAGCTTAATTAGGATCCCCAGTGTGTGAGAGAGGGAGAGGGAGAGAGAGAGAGAGAGAGAGCCAAAAAGATGGAAGGGAGAGACGCGGCAAGAAGACGGAAAAAGGAGACACAAGAAAAGAGACTGAGGTGTGTACGACAGCGAGTGAAGAGGTACAGAGACGAAAGCACAGACAGGTTGTCTAGCACCCACCTTCCCCGCAATGGTTTTGTGTGTGAGTGACTCCTCAGATTTAGTTGACAAAAATCTGTTCACAGTGTCACATTATTGGGACTCACCAGCCATTTAGAGCAATAGACTTAATGTTTATGGCTCATGTTTGGGAGTTGTGTAATTATAGTTGTGTTTAAGTTTAGAATAAGTATCCGGTGTAAGTCATGAACTCCTGTGTGATAAAAACAGGTTTTCCGTGTTCACATGAGTGTTATCCATGCAGTAAAATGTATGTATATTCATTCATACTCACACGTTTTGCCCACAAGCCACCTGTCATTCATTCTTTTCTCCCTCTGTATGAATTTGTGTTTCTTGGCGTCTTTCTGCCTCCATTTTTCTTTCACCATCCCTCACTCCTGTTCCCTTTCTCGCTGAATGACATTTCTCCAAATCAAAACGGAGGTGATCCAGTTTCTTGCCACAGGAGGAAATGAGCACCTCTCCCTTCCTCTCTTTCTCCTCCCCCCCCCCTCCTCGCCTTCCCCTTCTGCCCTGTCCTCCCGCACACTGCTGCTGCTGCTGTCGGTCTTTTCCTGGCTAAATCGCCATGAGGAAGGGATAAATAATTAAATTCCATTAGGAAAGTAATCTGTCAATTGGAATGAGTGAGTGCCACTGCCCCCACATGACCAAGACAGAGGGAAAGGATGAGGGAAGAGAGTGTGGGAAAAGTGTATGCATGTGTGCACAGCCATCAGGAGACAAAAAAGACAGGAAGAGAGTGAAAAAAAACCATAAAGCGCCTGGTAACAATGATGAGGATGAAGAGAAAATAGATAAATTTAAAGTCTGTGCCATTACAGGCTGAGGGCAAGGGGCAAAGAATATAATGGAAAGCAGACAGGACAGAAGGAGGTTAAAGGAAGAGGAAAAAAATAAGCCTGACAGCAAAAGACAACGGGGATAAAAAGGAAAAGGAGAAATGTGCAAAAATGACAGCACCAAAGACAGACTGAGATTTCTCCACAGGTGAAGGTGTGAGGTCTGACAGGACACTCTCCACCTAAAGCACTCCCTGCTCCAGCTGCTACGTCTGTAGCCCGCTGGTCAGTTTGTGACCTCTCCATCTTTTCTTCTCAGCCATCCAACCATGCCTCAACCATTTCTTGCTCCCCCCAGGCCATCGTACCTCTCTAATCGGGTTAAGTCCCCGATTGCAGATGTCTCTCATCACGGAACCAGATGCAGCACTGGTCAGACCCTACGAAGCGCGCAAGCAAGGACAATTTTGCACACTCGCATGCACACAAGCACGCATACGCGTGCACATGCACACATCCAGACGATCCTATAAAGTGCAGCAAAGACTGAAAAAAGAGACAGTTGCATGCAAATCAGCCTCAAGTCTCCATTTCCCATGGGAGTGAAAAAAGACTAAACCCCAGTCTGGGGCAGAGACAGTCCTAATCACTGAAGGAGATGATGATAGAGCGTACACTAAAAAGCATGCACACATACTCTTACACACAGTCACAGCTCTGGGGGGATGTCTAGGTCCTACAGCATGGAAATCCCTAGAACAGGCAGAAAATAGATTCACACACCCTGATATACGTGAATATTCAGAGAGGATAACACACTTTCCCTGACTGTGATTGCAGCTCTGAGGGAACACCCCTGTGGCTGTTTCTATGAAAGAGGAAACGAAGGGGAGAGGGTTCACCAAAGTGAAAAGGAAGTGTTGGAAAGTGCGAGAGATGAGGAAAGGTATGTGTGCATGTGTGATGCTGCCTCGTTTGCCACCAGTCTAAAAACAGTAAGTGGGAGAGAGTGAGGAGAGGTTTCCAGCAGCGTTGTCTGGAGACCAGGAATTTCCTCAGCGCGAATACACGAAAGACAAACTGAGATGTGAGCAATGGCCAGAGGCTTCAAATCCCATGTGATAAATTAACAATTCCTAGAAGTAAATGGTCAAAATGCTTCCTGTGTGTTACGAGTCTAAAGTGGATGCTGTAGTTTACCTCTTGGTTGTAGTTTCAAGGGCAGATGTACATTGTGCCAAAACTGAGAGCAAGACATCATAAAATAACCGTCCCACTATTAGACATCTTATGGCTGCACTTCACTTTAAATAACAGGACACAGCCTTTTTGGAGGGCTGCTGCTCACTTTATTACCCTAATGCCATCCTGCCTGCATTTGAGTAGTTGTGAGTGCCAAGCTTGTGTCTTCTTGATCAATGGACTGCTTCTAAAATTCTCCAAAAGTAACTGAATAGTACAGCTCTGTAATGCTTAAAGTGCACTAATGGACTGGAGAAACATCCCTTTCTCACACACTCTCTTAGCGTTTCTATTTGATTAATTTCAACAACAATTCAATTTTTGCCTTTCACGTCTGGATTTCTTTCAAGTTCATGAGCTAAAATTAATGCTTTCATTTTAGAGAAGTGTCTTACTTGTTGCTGGGTATGTAAAATGATGCATGTGCGTGTGTGTGCGTGTGTGTGTGTGTGTGTATGTGTGTGTGTGTGTGTGTGTGTGCGTGTGTGAAGAACAGAGGCGACTCGTGAGTTATCAGAGTGAATCACATAACAGAACTTCAAATACATGGAAGTCTCTGGACGCCACATCAAACACAGCTGAGATAAGGTGAAACTTTCTGGAATATTCTTTTTCTAAGCAAACATTTAGCCTTTGAAATCATCTATCATTATCTTTCGAATCAGCCAAAGGATGCTTGCAAACTTTGGTTTTAAAAATTCATCACTGGCTAGACTAATGCTACTGTACATAAATCTCCAGTAATGCTCCATTATTTCTATCCATACTCATGCATCTATTAAATTTAAACTAAAGGTGTGTGGTGATGCTGACGCTCAATAACCACAACACTGGGATAAAAATCTTCT